ATCCCGCTCTTGATTGAGGGAATGGTGGCTGATCGCCAATTTGACCTACAGGGGTTGTCCCATAACACCAGAAATATGGTCAATGGTTATTCTTTGGATAGAATATTTGAAGTTGAACTTAGGGTTGAAATATTATCAGGATGTAACATAAGCTGATTTGGAACCCCTAACCTCCCCAGCGTCCTCAAGTTCATGGATGATCGTGTTCAGATCGCATGGAGATTCGACACATGGGAGACCCTGCAAATGGACTGGCATCCCTTTGCGCTCCATCAGCAACACTGAGTTCATGTCCACATTGAAACTGAACCAACGTCCCTGGGGATCACTCGAAATTTCAGCAGCTTCCTTAGTATGCCCACAGTGCAGGAGACTTCGATCATCCCTTGGTGGTTAAAGAGAAGATGGCTCAGGCACAACATGCATGCAGCCAAGGGTCTGCACCATTCCTCCACTCTCCACTTCCATAACTAAACCTTATGTGATACTGATTGGGGCTTAAACATAGTATTTTGAAATCATGTGGTTCTTCCCCAAGAAAATGCCAATAGGAAATATGCAGTTTGTGCCTACACTGCCAAGTAACAGCTCACGATGTTGGAGAAACTGATTGCGGGAACGGGTCACCAAGTACAGTGCTTCACCAGAGCCATCGGTAATCAATTCTGCTGAGCCATTGATGCTGAACTTGCGCCTGGCTGGCTTTCATGTTTTGAGAAAAACAAGTGGCTGGAAATCCCCCACAGGTTCAAATATGGAAATGTATAATAAACAAACCTGAAATTTCAATAAGTTTTGAAGGGACAAAGCCAATACAGCTTAGATACGGCTTGGTCAAGCTTGCAATGTCAGCTTCGGTGCAGGTGGTGAGGTCACTGAGCTTGATCTTTTTGGCCGGCCGCCTGCGGCATCAGTGGTGGAAGGCCTTAAGGGACACAAGGGCTGGGCCACCAATCAATTGAGGATAGTGAGGCATTAACAAGCTTGTATCCCCTAACCTTGATTTGTGTCAATGATTATATGATTATTTTCGGCATTCATGGCCTTTCATCATCTTCCATGTAGTCCCCATCCACATTGAAGCCTTTGTTGTGCTCGACAATCAGCTCATGTGCACGATCTTTGGTTCCCTCATACTCAGTCCATCGACGAGCCAAAGACTGCAGCACCAGTAAGCGCCCACACTTTGCCACGCACACTTTGTACCCAACAGAGTTGTCAATGGTGTTGTTCTCCTGCAAAGCTTTCACCACCGGTTCATACTCTGGAAAGTTGGGTAGGACTGCGCTCCCATTCCGGCATGATTCATACAAAGCATTGGCAACTCGAGTCTGCAATGTGCCAGGCGCCGCGTTCAAGACCACTGATCCGCACATCATACGCTTTGAAGAGGCCACCTCCTGGTTGGGACCATGGCATTTTGATCCCACAACCAACTAAGTTCGTATTGGATTCCAAGGTCAAAAAGTTTAACCTTAGTATTGTAAAACATTTTGAATTTGTTTGCATTCATTCAAGGACCATTGCATGGCCAATTGTGGCATCTGTTTAGATTAGATCAAGAAGATTTGATCCCCCAAACTATACCTCATTTATTATCGGAAACCCACATTCATAAGAGGCTTGGGAACCAACCAAAAAAACCATTGAAGAGGCATAGATGTTTATTTAGTTTATTTTTCCCACTGGTCCCTGCCTCAAGTGCAGCCAGTGCTGGAAATGCATCGTAAGCCAGCAAATCCAGAATCATAGTGGTGTGCATGCTGGGAGGGATGAAGCTGGCCAAGGTCCGTTTCACGATGTCAGTGCCACCAGCCACCTAGAAGGGGAAAAGAAGCCATTTGGGATGACATTCCGTGCTTCCCCAAAACAGAGTAGTTGGGAAAAATGCCAAAGTAGTTGGGAAAAATGCCAAAGTAGTTGGGAACCTGTTTCATCTCCTGGGTGTCTGTAAAGGCCCTTCCAAGATGGGGCAGGTTCTGCCGGTTCTGCTGTGCCTTACTGGGATTGACGTAGTTCAACAAGAAATATAACTATAATAAACATATTAACTTTAAACTAAAACCAAATGAGATATAGATATTTCTTCAGTAATGCAGCTTAAGTGCAGGAGGTTGGAACATCTGGGCACGTTGCAGCATTTGCACATCATGAATGACCCCACTCCTGTATCCTGGTGAGGTTTTGAAAGCATTGGCGCGATCACGATGTATGACAGCAAGGCCAGTGATTGCACCATCCCGGCGACCATACACGGAGTCCTGTTGCTGTTGGGACTTTTACCCAACATATTCTTTGGTGATTTTACCCAACCTATTGTTTAGGGATTTACCCCAATCTATTGTTTGGGGACTTAATCCAGTCTGCATTGGTCAAATATATATTATGTGTAATTTATAAAATCATAAAATAAATTAATATGGTAATATATTCGTATATAATATAGTGAATATCATATTATCATATGATAAATATGTATATTGCTTGGTGGTCTGAACTCATCTACCCCAATCCCAGCATTGTTTTGATGGAGATACCCCCCATGATACTTTTCAGGGACCTAACTCAACCTATTGCTTTGACTTCAGGGGCTTGCTTTAACATTTTGATATGTGGGAATTAAAAACCAAGACGCCTTGTCAAACACCCATGTGATGTTTCTGATCACCAACTGGCGTTCTTTCAGCGACAGATCTTTCCTTGGTGCTCAGCAAAGTTTGACATGTATTAGGGCAGAATTGAAAGGTCCAGGAACCATTTTTTGGGAACTGATTGAACAAGTGCAAGGTAACAATTTGGTACAGGCATCCTGAAAATTCAAAGAAAATGTATGGCTTGAAGCATTTGATTAGTTTCTCAAGTCGGTACTTCATGTCTCGAATGTCAGAATCTTCCTGGTTGGGGCCAGCAGCTTCCTGCTCATCATCACTGCCAGACTCCATCTCATCTTTCTTGATGAGACCCATCAGCTCATCAGGTTCATCCTTGACGTCCTCATCCTCATCTTTGGAAGTTTTCACCTTCCTGCAGGCACAGCAGCCAAGCACTGGGAACAGGATATTGGATCTCCATTAAGAATTTTGTGATTCCATTAACATCGGTTAATTTGATGGGAACCTTTTCTAGGGAATCTTCATTGCTATGCTTGTTTCTATCAACAAAAAACACTTTCAGCTTACCAGCCCTCTCAGCAACTTGACCCCTGTTGGCATGTACCACAAATGCGATCCCATTGCGACGATAGAGGGCCAGGATGTTTGACACCGCTGTCACACACCATTCATACTTGTGAAGTGGCACAACTCCACAACATGGTAAATTGATCCAAAGGACCACACCGTGATCGTCCGTCGATCGGCACTCCGGTATGTCTGCGAATGCTTCATCAACATAGCTTGTAAGTAGGGGAAGCACTGTTGATTCCGCCTCCTTGGCTGCACCTGCAAAGAACCGTAAGTTCGATGCCAGGTAGGTTCCGACCAGGTCCCAAGCTCGTTTGTGAAGCTCCTGACATGGATCCAGTGACAAAACTTGATAAAAGTTTACGATAAATATTTTGCGATAACTTCAACAGGAAACTTTGATATGATTTCATTGTGAAGTTGGCCTTTGGGAGACACATTCAAACAGTAAGAGACCTTCTGGGAACCTAAGTATATTGATATTATCAGGTTTCCCTTCTTCCAATATCAGATCAATGAACTAAACATCATGAGTCCCACGCTCCCCCAACAATAGCACATCCCCCACAGTGACTGACAGAGCATAGTGAACCATTGAGATTCCAACTAGAATTAAATTTGGACCCTACAACCATGGCCTCAAGCTGCCCAATCAGCTTCGTGCGCCGCTTTGCAGATTCTTTCTCACTCCTGAGATCGATGGTCAGAGGAGACTGAGTCATATTGGGTCTGGGTCATGTTGGCTAAGCATTTCATTGGCATCATAGACACGAAACAGAACCAGATCCAGGAAAAACATATCCCAATAAAGGTAAGTTTTCAGAAACATTCCAAAGAAATAGTTGGGTGTAGAAAAGTTTTGCTTGGCAAGACAGCTGGTATCATGATCCGCTGGCTCTCGAAAGTAACTTGGTCACTTTGGAGTTGCTGGACCCAATTCTGAAAAGCTGCAGTCATGGACTTGGCATAGGCATTCTTTTGACGGTCTTGGGATTGCGCAATGAACTCTTCAACAGAGGCACCGCGAATCTACAGGGTGCAGACTCATAAAAACAAAATGTTCTGTATTATTGTATGGTAATCTCTATTTTCTAAAACATAATAGATATAAATTATTATAGTCAAGTCACAAAAAATCCTTTGCAACAAACCCTCATGAAACTTTGGGTTATCAAAAATCAAACCCTTTTGACTCTCACACCTCCAAGATGAAAGGGATGCGTTCCCAGGAAAACTCCTCAGCGGCTCTCATGATGGCGCCAAGATCTGCGTCCAAGCTCCTTGGCTGGGAAGAATGGTATGCTTGGGAAAACCAATCAAACTTCAATCTTGAGGGTCATGTTCCAAATGTGACGGGTTTCCTGGAAAACCCATCACAAATCAATATTGAAAATCAGAACCAATCATTCTACATCAACCCAAAATTCTTTGGTAGAATGATTGATCATACCGATCCCATTGAAATTGTGACGGGATTTCTGGGAAACCAGTCACAATCAGTGCTTTAGTGTGGGGTACAGATTTTGATTGATTTTGCAGGGTGGCTGGAGCCAACTCCATTTTTGAAAACGTGACGGGAGTTGCAGGAATCCCATGATTATCTAGCAAGAATGGTTGGCTGGCGCCAGCCAACTCCAAAATGGGATGTGTGACGGGTTTTATGTTTGGATAGCCAAGGTTCCCTTTCATGAACATGGCAGCATGTTGATCTACAATCTCCCCTGCAAACTCCTTCTCCATTTTCTCCTTCAACCATATCCACAAGCAACAAATGTCGAAGAGGGCCGTGCTCTGATCTTCATCAAGTTGTGCCGCTTTCTGCAGGGGAAAGCAGGATTAAGGGACGTTCATGATTGTAATGGGTCACATGGTCACACACTACAACACTTGGTCATACAACACCCCCCTCCCTACCAAACCTTCGACTTGTTGGTCGATTCCTTGGACACCTTTCGCTCGAAATCCTGCAAGAAGTTCATATGGAATTAACACTACATGAGTTGGTTCATATGGAATTAACACATATAGGGGGTCCTTCGTCAGACGGGCAATCCAAAGCACACATGTCTCCCCAGTTGAGCGAAGAATTTCACGGAACAGCGCTTTCCCATTGTATCTTGCACACTCTGATCGTGCTGTCACATTTGGCACCCAAAAGTCTTGCTGTAGAAGTTCAAGAGGAACACCTTCCAAATTCAAAAACATTGCAACCCTGAAGATAATGTTGGCTTTGAAATCATTGGGCACAATTGGTATAAGACAAAACTGCCTGAGACTTCGTGCTTGAACTGGTCATAATGGCTGTGAAGGATCTTGCCCATGTCCGGAGGGGAACGCATCCTTTGTGCAGCAAGGATGATTTCTTGGAACCCAAAACTACTAAAATTGGTTTTGAAACAAGGTCTTCAGATAAGAGTCAGGTTGTAGATGAGGGCTTTCCGGGCTGTGTCTATTCGATGTTTTTTGATGGTGCACAGCTTGTTGAACTCTGTGATGCATTTCGACAGCAAGTCCTTTAATGCCTTGGAAGCCCCTGGCTTGGCCTTAGCCGCCCGAAGCTCTACATCCACTGCTTGCCCTATAGCCCCCAGGAGATCCAAATCACTTGGAGCTTGTTTCTCACTGGTCACGAAGCCAACTCCTTAGCTATCAACTAGATCATGAGGCCAAATGTTGAGGCTAAAGTAATCCAAATGAAACATTTAATTTGCATGGGAGATTCGTAGGGAATGGAGGTAGTGGTGGCTTGGGTTGTGAAACCATGTGAAGCTACACCTCACCCATCGGAAACTCCTCAGCATAGAGGTTACTTCAGGATGCTCAAGCTGCTCATTGGACCATTCCTCAGTAGCAACAGGTTGATGCTTACTTTTTTTCTAAAGATGAACCCAGCCCATCCAAAAGAGATATTCAGGTGGGAAATAGATCAAACCAGAAGTCAAGCCATGACTCAAGCTCATGTATGAAACAGCAAATGCTCGTCATGATCAAGACTTTGGCAAAGCCGTCATTGAAGCAAACACTATTGTCATCCACCCGTCGTGTTGCATCCGAAAAAGGAAATCGTGTATCAACCGCTTCTGCTGATGAACGATAACCACGGAGAAATTCAGGAAAGTGAAGGCGACACTGCTCATTCTGTGGCCAATCTTCAGGGGCAAATTGGAAACAAGAAAGGTCAGTTGTAACAGTAACAATGGTTCAAAAGTCCCCACTTCCCTGTGACAAGCAAACACAATGAATGGTTCCCCAATTAAGTCCCAGACAGCCGTTCTTGGCGTCTTGTCCCACACAAAATGCAGTCAGAGGAAGCCAGAACTCAGCAAGGCTATTCTGAGGCACCAAGGTCAAGGTGGGCTTCGGGTCAATGTTCTCAAATCGGTCGATAGTCAAGCGCTGCAGCACCTGCAGGTGAAGGCATTTAGTCATCAACATATATTCCCAGGTACAAATCAATCAATCCCACTATACATACAATAAATAAGAAAGTTAAAGTGCCTGCTTCTTCACTGCGGGATCACCTAGAACATCTTGCACATGCTGCCCCAGGTTGGTTTTGGCAATCACCTTGAAACAGAACCCAAGGTTTTTGGGAAGGAGGGGAGGAGAGGCCATATGACAACATTTCATCAGTTCCGTCACATACACACATAACCAAGGACAGGACAGTATCAAAGTAGGCTTGGAGTTCCTCTAAGGGATTTCCTTGCTCTTGCTTTACACCAGCCCCAGCCATGATCTCCAAGGCCAAGCGGGGAAAAGAAGGGTTGCTAAGGAGCCACACACATGTGATAACATGTTGAGGTGAGGTGATGTGAGGTGCAAGCACAAGGCCATGAACCAATGTGGAAACTTGAAGTTGCTCTAAACATCCTCCAACATTTTTCCAACTTTAAGCCGGATACCCCGTAAAGCACACGAACAAGCCCCAAGTCACAGGGTCAGGTTGTGCAACAAACCCCAAAACTCACAGTACCCAGCAGCACAGAAGTAATTACCCCTGGCCTCGGCTGTGGTGAAAAACAACCTGTAACCAATGGTTTCTTGGTTCAGGCGGTTCTGCTCCCAGTTGAATATTCCCCATAGGAGGCTGTACCATTGGCCCTGCTTCCAAGAAACCAATCCTTGAGTATGGTTTCCTGGGCCGACCCTGATCAATTAAGCTCCTGTAGTATCGTACACTCCTTTCCATGTGAGGGAAATCCTTGCTGATAGCATCAGCAATAGCGGCTAGATCGGCTGCACGATCTGAATCTAGAGATTGCTGTACAACATGCTCTGTACGGTTCACTTCATTAAAATAGCGCTCAGTGCTACTTTGAAAGGCTGTTGGGTATACCAGGAGTGGAGGTTGGATGAGAACTGTATCACTCATGTAACTCTCCACCATGGCGAACACATCTCTAAGGTCACCTTGGGTCCGTAACCTCCTCGGTACATTGTCATCTGTTTGTATTCCATGTCCTTGTCCCGGCATGTCTGCAGGGGTATCAAGACAGTACAATATGACAAACATTTTGTTTTTGCAACATTTGTTTCCAACACTGGTTTAGACCCCCAGGCCTTCCCGGCACATGAATGAAAAGGATTGAGGAACTTTCATGTTGGTCTCTTCATCAGACTTACGGCCACGATAAGCATTCTTCAAAGTCGATGATGTTGGCATAAGCTGACACCAATTTCTGACCTTGATTCAAACCAGTTTATTTTTAAAATGGAAACACCCAATAATCTGAAATCAAAGTTTCAGCCCACAGCTGCACACACATCCCAGGTTGAAGACCAGCAGCTGTATCGATATGCTCAATCCTGAAGTCCATGCCGCTCTTGTGAAACAGGGGGCTGAGCTTCTTGTGAAGACACCTGGGCAAAGAGTACGGGGTTATATTAATTGTTATATAATTCAATGGTTGAATTTTGGAGAAATATGATAAACATGATGGGAGTAAAAGCTGCCCTTTGAATAAAAACAAGTAACCGATGGATATCAGCTGGGCTTTCCAAATCCCTCTCTGCTCGAAGTGCTGCAGTGACCAAGGAGAACACACCATCTGGGCAGGGTTAACTTAACTCTTTGATGCTCATTGCATGAAATTCAAAAAGCATCAAAACAAAATGAAAAGAATTTGAATTCCAAATTCCAACATTGTTTTTTTCTCTGACCCTTGCCTATGTCCTCATGAGTGTGGCCCACCACCATATGGTGGTGGGCCACACTCTTGAAATACTTTCCCTGTGTCAGCAAACAGGCCCACTTCCCAGTGTAAGAATTGCGCAGTTCTTTGGGTGTGTTGTCGCCCTGGATCCAAAGCCTCAAAGTGTTGATTTGGATCTTGAACCCTAACTTACTAACCACTAGTAAAAAGTTGAAACAAAATCCTAAGTTTGAAACTCCCTGGGCATCTCCTTGTTGGAAGCCCTTCGCCGTGCCCAGGAGTGGTCGATAGACTTCATCACCTTGGCACGTGACAAGGCAGATTGGCAACAAAAGGTGGGAACAGGAAACGTCAAAAGACATTGCCCCTCAAATTGTTTTTCAACCATGGGACACATTCAAGGGTCCAATTTGAACCACCAGGCATTCCTTCATCTGAGGTGTATAGATAAAGTCCCATGCCGTGCACTATGCACCCTGTGAGGGTCAAGAATGTTCCTGAGCTGGGGTCAACATGTGTGTGTGTATAGCAAGAGGTTAGATGGGAAGCATTTCTGGCAATTTCAAACAATCAAGAAATGGCTAATTCTCAACCAAAGTACGCCTTGTGTTTTCGTAGAGACTTCTCTTTGGGGTTCGTCCATTTGGAAATTTGGGCAGAGACATTTTTGCATGGTCATAACTATCCACGATCACCACTAATAGGTCTTGTTGAACCCTTGCTCGTTCCTTTGCCAGCCAGTAAATCTGGCGATCACGCCAGGTCCTGGTGAAGTGAGCAAAAAGCTGCCTGGAAATTTCAGCCTCTCGCCTGAAATCCTGAGTGAGGGCAAGGTTTCACAGGAGATGTTTTTTATGGAATCACTCAGATATGATGGGGTGGTCATTATGCTACATACTAGCTATTTGCAACTGGGATTCTGTTGTGTTCTGAAGTAGTGATCGGAGATGTGCACAGGTTGCACACTGAGCATGTTGTGTCTTCTTGTGGAATCGAAGGCACGGTTTCCATTCTTGTGCCACTTGAAAAAAGTAGCTCTACAAGCATGAGGTTCATTCTTAACACCAGCATAACTCTTGTACATCAAGAACAATTCTGACCACGACCCATGTGGCAGCTCACGGAGTGGCAACCGTGCTGGATCATGATTGAAAGACACCTGGAGAGCTGCCCCAAGCAATTTTGAATCCACTAATCGCTGCATCAACTCCTCTTTCAACTCCTCATCGGCTTTTTTCAAGGCCCCTTTTGAAGCCACCCTTAGATTCTTTGTTTGATGTCATTGCAACCCAAAAAAAACACTGGGCATTCTGAGATACTAAACCCCCAGTGCATACGAGTTGCTCCTTGGTCATGGGTTCAGCTGATGACCAGTACATGTGCAGCATGAACGCTCGAACTGAGGCTGATTTTTCAGCTGGCTTGCTGACAAGTCCTGAGAGCTTGGATTGCAGGTGCATGATTGGAAGTGGAAAATCCATGGGGTAGTAGCATTGTTTATTTATTTACACTACAATTCGAGGCAAGCCTCGACCAAAAGTAGATCGACCATCTTTCCCAAAGCAAGTTGATTTACATCGAGCCAGCCGTCTCCGTCCAACCCCGATCAAGTGCATCCATGCTATCTTGCAAACTGGATGTCCTGCAAAGATTCAATGGGGTGGGCTGCAAAATACCAATTAGTGTTAGTTTCATCCCATAGCAAACAGCAGTGTTAGCTGACAGATGCTGACAGGGTTTTTCAAATTCCAGTCCTTCAATGAACCAATCTTTTTTCGTGCCACTCCCTGGATTCTCTGTTTGAATTGTCCAGAGTACTGTGTCCTGACCCTCTTTTGTCAAAAACCAAAAGGCCAGACATACCCGTAGAAGCAAATGCATGGCAACTTTGCACTTGCATTTGCAAGCAGGTTTCTCCAATGCCTCTTTGATTCTAGATTTGGAACGACCATTCTTGGCAAATTTCGATTTAGATCTCGACTTGTTTGAAGCCACTGCATGCATGGACTGCAACCGTTGAACAGAGATGTCTACTCGGCCCCTTTCATATGCAGTGTCATCATCACTTGAATCACTTGTGCCATCAGAATCAGTGGACGAACCAGTGGATGAACCAGTGGACAATTCAGCATCAGAGGATGCATCGCTGCTGCAATCCATCCTGAGTTTCACCCGCTTGGTAGATGGTTTCATTTCTTAGCGTCTTAGTGTTCACATGGCAGGAACAGCTACAACCACAGTATTGCATCTGGGGCACTCTGAAGAAGACGATGTTGGATCATATCTCCCCAAAGCACAGGAACCAGCAGTATCAGCTTCGGCATCATAGCGGTGCAAAACAGGCATAGCTGACAAAAGGAATTATATATTCTGTTATAGGTCCTAATATATCATATTGTTTCCTATAACCTATCCAGTTTTCTATTGTGTTCAAATGCCATTTAGAGTTATAGGTCCTTCTTTTAACAACCATTAGTGATTGTTCAAATCTGTTCACATCATTAGTGATTGTTCAAATCTGTTCACATGGCCAAAAGCCCCAAACTTCAGAGCATAGCAGCACAGTACCGAAGGAATCAACAGAATGGAGATTTGTAAACTATTGGACACAAATTGGAGCTCACTCTCATTCCACTCAATGAGCAATTGGAAGCCATTTTTGACCCTCATTGCTCTTTAGTACTGGGCCATTTTGTCAGGCCGGGTTGCAGAGATAGCAGCAGCCAACACAGCTGCAATCACTCGGACACTCATGCTGTTCCCTGCCAAGTCGTGCAAAACCTTGGCTGTCCAAAGAGATGGTCATTTGGGAAGAATTGAAACATGTCCATTGTTGTCATACAGGAGTGGGGGTAAACAAGCCATGCTACAGAGTCATCCACAACTTCCAATCGTAAGCGATGAATGGGGAATCCCATCAAAGCGAACAGCTCTCGGCCAGTGATGTAACGTTGATGAGCAAGTGAAAGCCATTTCCCTTTTGGCCTTAGAAACAGGGCAGCCCAGCTAAATATAATATATATATCTTTGGTACAAGCTACAATCTGACATGGCCATTTTTTCCATAGTTTCCACATTAATTAAGGACAGTGCGTGATGCATGGAAGTGCTTCATTGGATCGGCGTGCAAAAGGAATTTGGCCAAGTGATTGGGAAGTGTTTGCCACCACAACGTCTTGGTGGACAGCTGTGAGTAGTGCAATAGCCTCGCAAAACACATTTTGTTCGAAAGGGTGCCCCTGAACATGTGTCAAACATCACAAGAAAAGGAGCATTTTGAGTGGGCGGGCCTCCATTTCACGACGGGTGGTGATGTACCGCCCTGCGTCTGGGTAATTGACCAAAAACTGGCTTCTGGCCACTGCTACATTCACCTGGCCAGTGGTGACTGGAGGTACAAGAAAAACTGAGTTATTTGACTGGGTTTGTTACTCTTTTGATTATTTCTCCTTCACTCAGCCCCACCTCATTCTCCCTTGCCCAGCATCTATGGCGATCAATCCACTTTGCGGATCGATTCAGGGGCCTCAGGTTGGAAAAGTAATTCACTTCTATTACAAGGGGTATTGGGTTAACAAGACATCCCATTGAGCCCAGCCACACTTCAGCATTTCTACGGCGCAATTTCTCCCTCTTGTAGCAGTCATTCTGAACCACATAGTGATCATTGGGAAGTAGCAGGCTTTCCCTGGGTTAAGACTTGTTTGTGTTAGTGACATCCAACGTCCAGATACAACACTACATAAGACTACAATAGGAAAGATGAATGTTTATACTGATGACAAGAAGCCATGTGTGCTTCACAGGCATTCCCATTCCAATGAGCTTCTGTAGAATGTAGTCATCAAAAGGCTGACCCAAATCATCTCTGATGCAATCTTCTCGAACCAAGATGATAAATATCCGCCTCCTAGACAACGGTTGTCCAAAGAATGTCCTTAGATATCTACAGTTTGAAACCCTTGAAGACATAACAAGAAAGGATGGACAGTCAGCACACCTGCAGATGCTGCCGAAGAACGGGGTCAGAACAGTGGAAGTTATTTCATACCTTATCTTGGTTTCAGCCCACATGACACATACACTTCATTGAAACTGCTGTCATCATAATGCAACCAAACTACCCAGGAATATTCATTCTGATCAGGGACAAGACTTTGGATAACACAGCACGGAAGCCCATGACATTCTCTAGTGTAGCAACCTCACAAAGTGATTTTCTGAAGGGAAGACCACTGCATACTTCTGTTGGAGGCATGATTTTTTCAACAAAATATTCAACCAAGAAACCTTTGGTCGATACCTACGCACTCGCTTCAGAACCTTGTAAAGTTGCTGAGCATTCTGGTCGTGGAGCATCAACCGTGTAGTTGACAGCAAAGAATAAGGGGTACAGGGAAATCCTGCACAATATGCACTGACCTTAGATACTGAAAACTAAAACTGGAAAGATACAACCAAAAGAATGCAACACATCCAAACCCACCTGAACCAACCCCAGGCAGCAACCCAAATGGCAAGGGGCATCCAGGATCGAGAGGCGGTCACACTCAGGTGTAAAGATATCATCACAAATCCTGGGCGGGGCCCAAGCCCAAACAAGGTGAAACAAGAAAGCGAACTGACAAAGTTCTGTATGATTGTACATTGGGTAAGTCAAGTATCTCTTCAAGATTTGCAGTGTTTGACTCCAGGAAGATCCGCTTCTGCGTGTTGATTTCTGATCCTGACCTGGGTGTCAGAAAAATGAACTAAGTACTGTATGTTGCAACTAGGGTTAGATATCTGGCCATCAAAAAGATGAACAATGAGATCCTGGCTTGTATGTCAAAGAGTCAGCCTTACCAGCTGCATGAAAGAGCATATCCAGCGCTTGAAACGGAGCATCCGCCCCACTACCTCAGAAATGAATAGAAATGATTTTAAAAAGGCCTAGCAGCCCTGCAGGTTCAAATATATTCAAACCAGGCACAATCACTAGCGAATGTGAGCTGCCCAGTGAAATTGCCCATCCAAGATTGCAATCCTTAATGGCAAGCACATGTTCACAAAATAGTTTTATGTAAAGGATAAGAAAGGTAACTGTGCATCAACATGTGTGAAGCAATGCAGGAAAAGTTCCGGAGGAATTCAAAAAGGTAGGGCCAATCTCTAGGTAGTCAATGAGTTGCTTGTCAAGTTGTGGTTCCTGCCCAGAAAACAAGATCAACAATGTGAGAAAGGAAAAATCACCAAAACAAAATGTTGTATGTAATGAAACAGCCCCTCTCCTCATCTCCAGAGCTGAAGCCCAAGCTGGATGCACTGCTGGATGTGCTGCTGCTAGACAATTCCATTGCAGCAACGCAACCCCCATTCTTGATCCAAAGAGGCAGTTGGATTTCAGAAAAGACTCACATACAATCAGACAAGTATATATATAATTATATATATATGTGATTTGACAGGTGAGACGTCGTGTCACGAGTCGCTGCCTTCTTTCGAAGGAGCTAATGCCAAGTGCCTGGGGAGGATTGAAAGGCTTCGCTGAAAGCATGTGGATCCGACTTGTTTGTCATCGTTGAGTATTGTCAGATAATCCTGACATTAAGCTCGTGCTTACGGTTTACACTGTGATTTACATAAGTCTTTTGTCGACGACGACAGTCTTCTGGCTGTCGTTCTTGAACCCTCGTATGCTTGAAAATGTTTGAAATCCACGCAACATTTTTATTTATTTTTGTTTCGGTGTCTCCCTGAATTGTTCCAAGTACAATACATAGGGTCTTCATTCATCATTGGCATTGCCACGAAGCATGAGTATGTCTTTGTGGAAGCGAACGAAACCTGTGGACCAGGACCAGACCCCTAAGAGATGAAACACATGAAGCAACACAAATGGGCCACCGCAACTTTGAGCTCTTGAAGGTCTCGACCAAAAAGTGGCGATTTTTGTAGTTTTGTCTCAAGAAATTGACCAACCCCTAAAACAAGAAGTCCTCCCAAGTGCTGAACATCCTTGAGCCCAGAAAACTCCACTGGTTGACGTCCCAAACAAGTGTTGCAGAAAAACCATGGATATCCCATTGTTATCCCTGGATGCTGCCCGAGTTTCTCTGCCAGTATCAATATGGCCTACAGCTACTCCGAGATCATGGGCGTGGTGGCACAGGGCGGCTTTGACGTGCGAGGGAGCAACTATGGTTCTTACCTTGAGGCCCAGTGAACTTTGCTGCTGGCAGTGATGTATTGACTATAATTCTGGGGTTTAGCACTTTGGATCCCAAGAATTCCAAAAAAAATCTGAGCGAATGTTGTTTGGGTTTGTAACGATGTTTGTAACGATGTTTGTGCATGTGTCTATACACCTATGGCAAATGCCTAGAGTTTGCCCACCGTCTCAACAAGTACGTAATCGTTCCTCCTTCCCAATGCTCAAATTGCGCAGGCCCAGTCTTTCTGAGCTTCCGAGACAGTAGCCCTAAAGCCCTAAAACTATCTAGAACATTCTAAAACTGGCAAACCCTAAAGTGAAGTCCTAAAACCCTAAATCACTGCAGACCCTGTGATCCTCTGCAGCTCTGCTTTTCTATCCTCGTGGGCCATGGGATTTCAGGATCCAAACTTTCATCCCGCAGGCGCGTATGGTTGATTGCGCAAGAACGGCAGCGGAACCCATCCTGTGGTTGTTCTTTGCGCAGCTGTCAGAAACTTGGTGAGATTGATCTCTGTTACGTTTTTGCCACTCGCATCATGATGCCATGAGATTTTGAGATGTTCAAGGACAAGATCAAAGGCTGATAAGCAGATTTTTCAGTTTAGAATTTGATATTTTTCCTTTTCCTTAGGCTCTACTACGCCCTCGTGATTCTGCATTCCATCTTCAGGCGGTGGCACTTTGGATTTCACCTTAAAAGAGTGGAGCAGTTACTCGCCTCATGTTGTTTCTCACTCAGGCAATCCTTTGAGTGATAGATATTTGACTGCATTTTGGCAAGTGATGGCAACTCTAGTCAGATTTTAACCAAATTTATATAATCAGTTTCAACTCTCAAGCCTGTTCATGTTCTTCCTTGCCGGTGTTGGTCCGGAAACAGAAATCTGTGAATGTCAGCGGTACCCGGGTTATTGAAAGGAATGCCGAGAACATGCCAAGCAGCCAGTAAAACAGTAAAAGACAGTTCAAGTCCCTCCACGAAGCCAGCCCTCAACTCATTCTGCAGCTGAACACTGAACAAGAGATGGGATTCGTTTGAACTTTTGTAGTTCGGGAACCACCATTTGGGTACTGTATGGCTCAACTTTAACGGTCGGAGTGCCATAGCTGAAGCCATGCAGGCCATGTCTGGGAAACCGCGTACCTGAAGCGTCAGCCGCCTCAGCACTACATAGAAAGTGGCTGACAAGAACGGATGATATTTCCCAGTTGTAAGTGGGCAATAAGCCATTGAATATCCAATATATATATATATAGTATGATTAATACGCATAGCCGCATAAAGTCTGAGCCAAAAGTCAACCTGGGGGTGACATCCCCGATGTTTGGGGGGTTTCTGAAAATGGAGGATCCCCAGTCACCATTGGTTTCAATACTAAAATGCTCTAATTTTGAATGATTTGGGGGTACCCCCATTTTGGGAAACCTCCATATGTTCTAGTACAGGGAATATCACTCCACGGTTGACATTTTAGACTGCATCATTCACAACAGGTTATGAGACACTGCAAATCGCCCTGCGGAAGCTCATGTTGGAATATTGGAACCCTGAAACGTTCTCGGCAAACTGAAACTATGACTGGAAATGCCAGATGTCCAACAGGGTCCAACAACTGCATGTTGCAATGGATTTGGCCCCAATAATGTTGTTAATTTACTTGTATGTTAGTTTACAACATTTTACAGTGGTCTTTACCATAAGATAGATGGCTAAGATCTGGTTTTTAAATCTGAAATCAATAACTTCTTCTCTTCCGCATATCCTCCTTGCTTTTCCACATGGTCTTAGACATTGTAAAAAATGGGGGAAAAGCACTTGCCTCGGGAATGGGCGATGCTACTTGTGTGACCGTGCCGAACGCGGTAAACCCAATAATTCACTCTCCCCAAGTTTGCCGGTGCGACAAAAACCATCCCCAAGTTGGCGGTTTATGATTGGTTTTACCCCATGAAAGATAGTTTGGCAGCAAGTTCCCAAGATCAGTTTGACCACTTGCCCCAAGGATGGATTGGACGCTGAAGGCTTGATTCAAGCTAGCTTGGGACAGGGGAAATGCTGCCGCGGGCGCCAAAACTCTTGGGTTTTCCCTGCATAGATTTTAAGCAGCACAACTAGTCAACCGTATGAGAGATTTGATCCAAGCAAATTGGAGGTGCTAAATCACCTAATTAGATGGTTCCAGATGGCTTCCATCACCATTTTGTGGTAGTTTTCTGATTGGATGGTTGGCCATCACTGGGTCATGGTCCTGGATCATTTCGATCGACCTGATGGGAAAATTGCTGAATTCACTCTCCAGCAATGGCCATGATCGAATGCATTTTTACCAGCCATGGGTTAGATCAGCTTTGCCAGTTCCTGATATTGGTGGGAAATCACCTGGACCTACAAAATCACTGGAATGATGATTCCTAGAGCGGCGTGGTGGATGACGCGCTCCCAAGCCTCTGGTTTCAACCCAACTGAAATTGAAAGTCCATAGGCAGACTGGCGCCTTTCCCTCCATGAATTCCACAGTTTCTGGTGGGAAAATAAATATATAATATATAACTAACCGTAAGATTTATGACATTTTATTATGCAAGAATCATGACAATAGTAGCAACTAGTAAGGCTCCTGGTGTTTGGCTTGTTCTTTGCCTGTTATGATTGAGCAATACTATTTACTGGTACCGTTCTTATTGCTGTTTTCTTATAGTCACATATTACTGTCATGGAATCCAGAAACAATGCTTTTATTAATGTCAAAATGATACGTGTATTTGAACATAGTATGAAATTTACTGGTACCATTCGGTATTACACGGTATGAAAGATATTGTATATAGTGTTTTTTCAATACGCATTAGAATTATTTCTATGGGCCAGAGGATTATGTGTTTTGTATTATTACAGTAGTAGAGGTCGTCGTAGCAGCAGCAGTTGGTGTGAAAAAAAAAACGCACCCATCCTCCGTAAATCATCAACTCACTAATTAGCCTAGTAAGTATCACTATGATCAACCACTCATTCACTATGTTTATTCCATGTTATTACTATAGTACTATAACTAATCAACTATCATATTCATGTTGAACCCTAAAATTCATCATGTTTCATAGGTAAACCACCATGTTTCATAAGTCAATCACATTTTTTCATAGGTAAATCATAGGTTTACCCCGCAGGTCGCCCCCCCTATGGCGATTTGCTTCGCTTCAGGCGCTGAAGATTACCCGTGACGCCCGGGCGGAGAAGACCACCCTGGCGGAAGCCAAGGTAACATAGACCCTGGCAGATAGGGGTTGGAAGATGAGTTTCCACTAAAAATGAGTTATTTTCAGGGTCGACCTGTTGATTTACCAGAGAGTAATGTATAATTATAATTGTCAATTGTCAATGATATAATATAAATTATTGTAAATTCATTATAATGATTAGTATCTGATGAAATATAATATAATGATCAATAGTATAACGATCAAGTAACAATTATATAGTTCATCATGATCAGTTATAGTTATAAATGATAAATTTGTCATATATAAATTAGATTGATTCGCTTATGATATTTAGATGTTTGTTCATTGGTGTATTTGTTATAATTCATCATGATTCTTATCAGCATCAACAGCGCTGTTATCATTCGTAATCGCAGAGCAGCGGTCAATTATTTGAGCGGATTGGATTTTCATGTGGTGAAGCCACTAATTAAAACCATCCTATTAACGAACCATCCCAAGTAGTAAGAATCCCCAATACTAATATTGTTTAAGCCTCTATTGATATTATCCAATATGGAGATGATGATTAGATTATCAGCAAGAATATTACAGTATCTTAAACTATGATTATATCATATTATATCCAATATTCTTATATGTCAGGTTCTTATCAATATGTTCATACCGCGGACACATTCTCGGTCACAGTGGGCACAGCGTGGGCAGTGCCACACTCGCCACAATATCAATATGTTCACAATCCACAGTGAAAGCCAACAAATCTGAGCAATGGTTCACCATATGGTGAGCTAAATGTGGTTCGCTTACCCTCGCCGGTGAAATAAAACACCTGTGACGATTCTGAAGTAATCCAAAGGGGGTGCTTGGTGCCCGAAGCTGCGGAGAACATCCGCGAATGACTGCAAATTCATCATGAAGCATTGGGATTTGGTGCAACAATCGTGGGGATGATTAACCAAGAATAAGATAATAAGACCCCCATTTTCATGAAATCTGGTTAATCATCCTCACAGTGAATTCAATTTCACAGATGACTCCATTGACCACCTCTGGTTTTCACAGATGGATAGAAAATTATGGAGATCAGAGGTGGTCAATTCATCTGTGAGTCTTCGGGGATAGTCAAGAACTCAGATTCTGATGTCTGGATTGGGCATGACCCAATCCATTGGAGGATGTGCTTGGTAAATTCCTAGATTCCAATGCACTAGATACCCTCTGGTAATTTGGCATAGATGCATAGCTACTATGGAAAATCACCATATGCTATTAATAGGTACCCTCTGGTAAACTAACATAGCTATGGAAAATCACCATTTTTAATGGGAAAACTCACTATAAATGGCCATTTTCAATAGCTACGTTAAATTACCAGAGGGTAAATCAACTATTTCTATGGCCATTTTCCAGTTCGCAAACTCTTCGTCATTACCAGAGATTTATGGATGATCCTGATGGAAAATAGTAGTCCTCCATCATTCCGCGAGTCTCGTTGGTTGTAACAGCTACATAGCGATATACATATATATATAATTATAAAATTATTTATATATTATATTATATTATATTATATCATATTATATTATATTATATTATATTTTATTATATTATATTATATTATATTATATATGTATACAGAGGTATTCAGTTTTCTTTGCTAATATTCACAATTGTTGCTTACATCTCTCCATGATTATCTAAATGCAGATACAGATTTGGTTGTATGCAACGGTCCCGTAGTTTTCGAATCCTTCCAGGCTTCCTCGAAGGTTTGTGAAAACAACATCCGAAACCCCATGAAACCATGAACCCCCTATGTTTGATGATGAAAAAGACAATGGTTTCCTATGGTTTTATCATCAATCAATGGAATCTGTTGGATGATCAATGGGAAAATCATGGTTTCATGGAGATTTAGATATTTTAATCAATGGATTGATGGTTTCCTCTGTGTTTTTCTACTTTTCCCATCTTTTCCCAACATTCCGTCGGAAACTACGGAGGCGCAAGAGGAGAAGGGTCTCTTGTCCTACAGGACGCAGCATATGGCATTGGGGCCACCCCAAACGAAAGTTCTAAATCCAGCAAGATGCCTTCGAACATGCCGCGTGTTGCCGCTGAATTTGTTGCACTTGCTGGCTTCTAGATAGCATGGGGAAAACATCACAGTGTTTGACCCTTCAAGTGCTTGACCGCAGGATGGACATGAATCCAAACTACGAGGAGGCCACGATGGCTCTGAATTTCAACCCAGAAGACATGGGCGCAAGCCCTCCGAGTGAGCGGCAGGCCTGGATTTTTTTGCTGGGAAGATGCGGAAGGCTTTCGTGAGTGGTAAACGCTCATGGGAACGCACTACGAACCAACCCGGATCTCCAAAAAATCCAAAACGAAGAACTGGGAGGACTAGGGGACCAGGATCAATCAGCTGGTTCGGCTGTCTGTCACCAATTCATTTTTCGGTCCTGGACTCTACTGCTCTAGTGCCGCAGCTGGGACCACTTGAAATCAGCATGTGCCAGGTCGTTAAGGCATCGACAGGCATGAGCTTGCACAAGCTGCGACCTTAGATCGACAATACAACATATACAATGTTGTGCCATGTTGTGGCTGATTAGGCCATGACTGTGGATGAAGTATGATGAATTGACCTGCTATTTGACTGCTATTTGCATCTATTTACCGGCTGTACGATGGTCTACCCTCTGTTGATGAATAAAATAGCTATGGAAGCCACGGACCATTTACGTCGATGATTTACCTTTCAAACATGGTGGCGATTTTCCAGTTCGCAGACGGTTGGAGGTTTCCTAAAATGCTCGTACTCCAAATCATCATAAATCATCCAAGTCATTAGACCATGACTTAGTATGAAAACCCATGGTGACGACTGGGGATACCCCATGACTTAAGAACCCCCGATAATTATATGCCATATTATATCCCATGATTTCTTGTCAGGTATCGAACTCAGTGGCGGGTCGTCGCTAGGTTGGAGGAACAGTTCGAACGAAACGCCGCGGTGAAGCTGCATGAAGCGGAGGCCCCAAGGGGGCCATGGTGATTTCGCTAATTTCGGTGAGTTGACATGACTTGACCCAGAAAAATGGTGGTACCATGGTGGTACCATGGTGGTACCATGAGGATCTATGGGATCTATGGGATCTCCAACTGGGGGTTTTTAGGCGATTGTTGGATCCAACTGGTCCGGCACTGCAGTCGCCAAATGGGAAGGGCCATTCCACTGGTATTTGATCCATGGTATCCCTATGAAAAATGTCCATGGAATACAATGACTAGGAATGGAGTTAAGTCAAGTGGAATCACATTCACATTCATGTAAGTCAATTTTGTTCCTTTTCCATCATTAGTCCATCCACTAGTGAATCATCAGCATGTCGACGTCCTCCGTGCCAGAACTATGTGGCATCGGCTCTCGATAGGCCGATGGCGGCGGAAGATATCTATTTAGCAAATAGATGGAGATCCCCGGCCTATCAAGAGGTGGATCTTTCATGGATCTTTCATGATTTTTGATGATATCAAGCTCTTTCATGATTTATCAAGAGTTATCTAAATTAAATGGATATATATATATATATCTTTGCTAAATGGAGTATCAAAATGAACCAAATCACCCGGAATTCACTGTTTGAAGCATCCAATTTGAGGGATCAACAATGTGTTGCAATGGCACACCAACAGCAAAGGAGTAAGCACCAGTAAACGTCAGCAAACCACAGCATAGCCTAGTAGCAACTGAAATTACATGAAATGTGCAACAATTCTTGTGGGTCCTGATGACGTGATGTTCTTGAATTTGGTGCATGCAACCAATCAAGATGGCAATGCTGCCAGCATCATCTATTCTTGCAGGATGAAAATGGCGAAATCCCAACTCTTCCGAAATAGTTCTTGCAAAAGTGTCAAAATGGTGTGGTGTTTCCACGTTGCCCTTTTTTCAGAGCTTCGCATCGAAGGCAAACATGCGTGAAAATACACCATTCTATATTATAGTAGTCTATATTATTATATGTACATGATATATATGTACAATATAATATATATATGATATATATGATATGATATATATCATATATATATATGTAAGATATATATATGATATTTATATATATATATATGATATACATATATACTATGTATATATATATATGATATATATATATACTATGTGTATATATATGATATATATATACTATGTATATACATATGATATATATATATATATACTATGTATATACATATGATATATATATATATATACTATGTGTATATATATATATATGTATATATATGATATATATATATATAATGTATATGTGTATATATATATGTAAGATATATATATATATATGTAAGATATGATATATATATATGATATATAGCTGATAATCATGCGTAATCCATAGTTGGGGGATGTTTCTGACACCTCCTCCATGACTCGCCCAACTCGATTTTTTTTTCGCCAGGTTCAGGGCCAGGACCTCAGAAGCCATGGGGAGTACCCCAAAATGGTTGGATTATGATGGAAAAATCCGTTTAAAATGGATGATAACTAGGGATGCCCTTATTTCAGGGAACCTCCATATCTATGGAAAATCACCAAATTGTGATATATTTCATCATCTTCAAGCTAAATGATCCATGTTCCATATCTATATTGGTTTGCTGGAAGGTAGGCAAAATTTGGGATATATGTTAAAGTGATAAACATATTAAGGATGATAAGTGGTTCAAAGAAAATCATATACTGTATTAAGGGATGATGGGTTAATATATGGGAATAGTGTATATGATAAACATAGGTTAATCAGAAGCTAGAAGTGACCCTGCCCTGATGATAACTTGTCCTAACTATCGGGGATTGTTATACAAGAAATAAGGGGAATGCGGCTTTGCTACCCAGGATAATACGATGGGATAGTGGTATTCTTCATGGCTCACTGGGTCAGATTTTTACTGGATTTTCATCCATGTACAGATAGCAAAAAAACTAACGTTCTTTTTTCCTGAACGGACCATCAAATGGAGATTTGGAAGACCCTCCCTCTCGTAATCCAATATAGCTATGGAAAATGGCAATGTGTAATAGGTAAACCAAAAATGGGTTATTTTCAAATGTCTACAGTAGATCAAGTTTCTGCCCGTCAAGTGTGAAATTTGCATTTCAGGTCTTTGGAAAGTCCTCTGGTTCGAGCAAAACCAAGGTGCGTTGCTTCCAACCTCTGGGTGCTTTTCCCTGGGTTTGGGGGGGCGCCACACCATCCAAGCAGCATCTGTCAGGAGGAGGTCAAAACTCCAACGGGTGAGACCACTCCGACGTCGCGACAAGTCGTTTGATGCTGCGGTGGCGTTTTTTTGGGGCGCTCAGCTTGTGTAATTTCTTGGGGACCAACGAACAGTTGACATGGATTAACATGGAACCATACGGAACCTGGGAGTCTGGACTGAAAACCCACTGCGGTCCCAAAGATGATTACCTTCCGACAGCCTTGGTGAAGCGCGCCGGGCTTCGAGTTTCACCATGGGTTTCAATTGTGTGGATGAAGAGCCAAAATTTGATGATTTGGACATCATAAATCACCAAGTCATGACAATGGATAGAAAGATATGGAAAGCCTGCGATTTTTGTTTCATGTTTGATGATTTTAGATCCGATTGAAATTGTTATCCAACAGTGGCTGATGTCATCTTATGATACTTTCCGGAAGGCTAGGTTTGGGGTTGAAACTTTGAATGTGTGGCTGTGTGGCTCCCGTTTGGGACAGAGTGTGGCTTTGATCGCTACACAATGGAGATCTCATGTTCCTTTGCAATTCTGGACTCGACCCCTTCCGCTAAAGTGGGGGGAGATAGGCGTTACGGAGAGAAACACTCATTCTGAAAATGAGAAACACAGGCATGCTGGACAATTTTGCGCATTAAACGGATTCTCATCGACACATGGGTTGTTTGATTTTGCTTTGTGCCCATTGCTTCAAGGCTTTACCATCATTTTTCCCATGAAGATAAACATAAATTGGGACTAAATCCTCGGTTTCTGTGCATACCCGATTATCGAATAATAATAATTATTATTATTGTTGTTCCCAATACAAACAGGTAGAAAATCATCAACACTGTTTTTTTTTTCATTATTCAACTGACAGGTTTCTCTCTGCAAGCACTACGTTTGAGAAACGCCAAGCTTTGCAAGTCCCGAGCGAAAGGCTCATATAATTCAAGATTTTACATAACGATTACATTCGTAAAATCCATCAACATAATTTTAAATCAATCTAATTTTAAAAATATTAATTTAAATTATCAGAAACTGACAAAAATTATAAAAAAATTACTGTACTTCGAGTGATCCCCCCACCATGACATTTATACATTTTGTTACTGACATATCTTCTGGCATTCTATCTGGCATATCTTCTGGCATTCTACCTGGCATATCTTCTGTCATATCTTCATGGTGAAAATTACATGGATACCAGCCATTCCCTTTGCAAGCAAGCCATTGCGTTCTTCTTTTGGTCTGTGACGTTGCTAGCCGTTCTGCCGCTTCACTCCCGAATGTCACCTGGCGTCACCGCTTGCAGTTCAGGCTGCAAAACAAACATGCCAAGACATGTTGGAGTTCACCTGCATCACTCATGTCATGTCGCCTGCAGTGCAGCTTGAAAAACAAACATACCAAGACATGTTGAAGACCCCCTGAATCACTCATGTCATGTCGGCTGCAGCACAGCTTGGAAATCAAACATGCCAGGACACTGTGGGAAACCATCTGAATCAGTGATGGAATGCCATCTGTAGATGAGGCTGGACAACAAGCATGCCAAGACATACCATGCCACCACCTGATTCAAGACCGAATTTCTGATGTACACTGTGCTGCTCTCGAAACCGATACAGCTTTCCCACTATCACAAAACAAGATCAAATTGATCCTGACATGATGAACTCTCATGAAAAGTCTTATTCTCATACGCCACCTCAACCCATGCCGGATGCATCGACAAGACCGACCCAGATAGAACTGGTGCATGTGCATGTGCACTACAGGCATCAGCAGCGCCCAGCCTCCAGCAAGGATCAGTGGCACAAGCGATATAAGCAAATATCACTAAGAAGCACTGTCATGCAACCGCTGTCATAATAGTGCTGTAATGTATAGGCTAAGCTAGCTGTTACTAACCCATATAGACTACAAAACATCCACCTCATGGAGACAGAGGGCATCCCACGACTAAATTCAACATCCCACGACTGAGTCAAAAATCCCACGACTAATTGCTAGATTTCCAGGCGCACGACAAAAAAAAACAAAAAGGCCGACAATCTCCTTTTTGGACCGTCTGCGGCCCGGATCCTTCAAAAAGGTTTCCGGCAGCCTCTAACTGGACCGGGTTCTCTTAGTTAAGCCTCTGGGCTCCTTTTTGGGCCGTTTGCGACCCGTATTTTTCAAAAAGGCTTCCGACGTCTAACTGGACCGATTTTTTTAAAACTCACGTACCTCTTTCAAGCCTTAACGGCTTGGGAGCCTCCAAAACGGGCTCTGCGGGCTTCTTACGGGATCTGCGCTTAGGGGTATCCAAACGACATCTGCTTCCTTTGTGTCTTTGAATTCTTTTTCTTGCTTTTCTTTTCGACTAGGGTTTTATAGTAGCAAAAACCTTTGAATTTTAATTTGAATAGGCACCGCAGAGGATCCAAAGGCTATTTTGCTTAGTCGGCAGAATGGAAAATCTTTAACCTTAACATTAGAAGTTCAATTCTGGGCTGGGCTGTCCTCATGGGCCGGTTTCCTAATTTGAGGGCCCGGATCCGCTAAAAAGGCTTCCGGTAGCCTCTACTTGGACCAGGTTTTCTTATTTATTGGGCTCCTGTTTGGACCGTTTCCGGCCTATTTTACAGGATCTAAGAGGTTACCGAAAACCTTTTTCGAGGATTTAGCCATTGAGGGGCTAAAAAGGAGTTAGTCGTGGTATAATGATTTTTTGGTTGTGGATTGTGGGTTTTTATTTTTTTGGGTTATTATTTTTATACCCCGTTTCGGTCGTTGGATTCTCTTAGTTTTTATTTTATGTATATATATTGAAAAATATATTAATTAGAAATATTGTTATATAATTATTATTATATAAATATTATAAATTAAAATTTACACAAATTATTGCTAACTAATACTAA